AGTGTTTGTCAGGTTCATATAATTTCATCTTCACAATCTCCTGTAAACATTAAATTCACGGGTAACCTTAAATACATGAGAATACATTGTCGTGCATAAATACACACTTCACTTTGAAACTGGTACTTGTATAATTCAAAGAAAGTCTTGTCAATGAAATCGCCATAGTTAGCAATTATTCAGTTTTCACGTCTTCATCGACTTTGAAAGGTCCAATAATGGTTTAATCGACAATTCCACCCCACAACATCACACTACCGCCTCCTTGTTGATTTCTTTTAGCCACAGGCACATCTGCGGCCGATAAAATCCATTCTTTGGCCCTACCATTAGGTGCAGTGAAAGTCACCTAAGATTTGTTCATGAAAATTACATTAGAAAAGTCAATTTCATGTAATTCTAGGCCCACTTTTGACGTTTTGAAATATTTGTTTTACTGAAACGATTTTACCTAGGAGATTTCTTAACAGATCCCAATTTTTAAAGTCTTCTACACCTTTTGTCTTTTTTTAACTCCATCAATTCCAGTTTTTTCAGACATATGAGCACTGTTCAAAAGTGGTTGTTTTCGCTATAGTTTTACGTTCTCTTCGAGAAGATAAATTCTTAATGGCTTTCTCTATTTCAAATCATTTTGTTCATAGATACTTTGTTCAAACTGTGGAAAATGTAACTCATTTGAGAAAGTTTCTCAAATGAGTTATATTTTCCACAGTTTGAACAAAGTATCGATGAACAAAATGATTTTTTTGCTATCCCCTGCCAGCCGCATTGACGGAGAAAGCATTACCTCGCACCATCGCCAGTGAGACACGTTGCAAGAGCCACGCCGTTTCGCGATGCCCGTTCCTTAATCGAGACGCCATCCCGCCAACCCTTCAAAGGAACGCCATCGAACGAGGGCCAATAACCACAGAAGTCTCCACTACCACAGAAATTTAAAAAAATAATCTATCAGCAAGAGAAGAATATTTAACTATTTTTTGTCTCCTCGTCCCGAGCGATAAACCCCGGCTCAACCACGGACCTGATCAAATTATCGGTCGAAAACGTATCGGCACAGGTCGCACCCCAAATCAACGATTTCCCTATTTTAAAAAGGGAAAATGGTAATGCCATCCGGTCGCTTTCCATCACCACGGTCAAGGCCTACAACCTCCCACAGTCCTCTTGATCGTTCTTCGAAGCTCCTTTGATATCTTCAATGTGACTATACAGGCATTGGTTTGTTAGAACCTTTCAGCTGCACATATTGTAACATATATGAGACACAAAAATATAGTTTTCATTAAATTTCAGAGGCATGAACCTAATATTACTTTAATCTGCATAATAACATCAGACTGAATTTTTTTTAATCAATCCAATAACATTAATAAATCATGCTGAAAATGCCTAAAAATTAAACTGAAGCATTCATTTGACGTCTGAATTAATTGGTTAAAATATTTTTCAAAGTAATTTCGAGTTATTGAGATTTATGTGATTTGCGTAATAATTTCAGACGGTCTGCAAATATTCATTTGACCATACTCTATCGGTGTCTGTGTGTGCATGCGTATTTGTAAATGTATCGCTGTTGTAAACTGAAACGGAAGAAGCGATCAATCCTTGTGCAATCATTGCAAGTGTGACTGAGGCATAGCAAGCAACTGTTAGAGAATCAGCCGACACCAACATAAACTCAGTATTGATTGATAATGCCCGATAAACGCTAGTTTGGAAACTTCGCTTCTTCATTTAGTCATTCCAGAAACGTCGAATAGAGTTTGGCGGCATTCTGCCAAAAAAATAAATAAAAAATAAAAATAAAAAGAAAGTAGCAGACGATTTCCGTTCGACAGTGTCCTACGAGATACATGATAAATCGCAAATACTGTGACTCCAATGCACATATATATGCTAGACAATCCTCTCTTTAACACCCAAATTACTTTTGAAAATATCTTGCGTCTTGAGGTATCTTTAGTCTTGAGTTATCTGGTTAACGAATTTTTACCAATATATACATACATATATATATATATATATATATATATATATATATATATATATGTGTGTGTGTGTGTGTGTGTGTGTGTGTGTGTATGTGTGTGTGAAAATATATAGAAAATAGGAAAGAACTCGTTAGGTAAATAATCCAAAGTTCTTTAGTATTTTTGTTATTATTTTTAAAATAATAAACAGTGCTCGATACAAAAGTAGAGCCTAAATAAAATTATTTATTTTAAAATATGATTCCATCGAAAATCATATTTTTAAATAAATAAATAATTATATATATATATATATATGTGTGTGTGTGTGTGTGTGTGTGTGTGTGTGTGTGTGTGTGTGTGTTGTGTGTGTGTGTGTGTGTGTGCGCGTGTGTAAAATTTATATATATATATATATATATATATATATATATATATATATATATATTATAATAAAGAAAAAGAACAGTAAGATTTATAATCCGGTTCTCTTATTAATTATTTTTACTTTTAAAAACAGTGCTCAATACAATTCTGCAGAGCATAAATATTATAAATTTACTAATTTAAAAATATGGTTCCATCGCTACACAGGATTTACCATGCTTCAAAAACATAAACTAAAAATTTCAAATCCAGTTGTAGAATTCAATTAAAATCCCTCGTTCTGTTTCATTTTCAAGCGAATTTTGGAATAACTTATTTTGAAATTTACTATGCAATTTTTATATATATTATTTATATATTACATATGCGCGGTAGTTATTGGAAAGTACACAGACATACATGCACACACGTTCACTCATTGACATACGCAGACATACATACACGCACATTCCCGCATTGCAGCTCACACAAACATAAGCATATATGAACGGTGTGGAATTGGGCATATATACGCATCCATGTGTCGTTGCGTATATACGTACGCAATTGGTCGCTGTATTCAATGTTGGATTGTGTAGTGTCCCACACTGTTCATATGTTTATATTTGTGCAAGCTGCAATGAATGAATGTGCGTGGATGTATGTTTGCGTACGTATGAGTGGCGTTCCGACAACAATTTCTCCTCCCACTACTATAAAACCGTCTTGGGTATGACGATAAACTACGTCCAGCAGCAAGGCTTTTGATAAGGTTTTGAGGAGCGTGGAACCACCTGTTAATTGCTGGTGTTCTCAGGTCTTCACTGACCCAGGGTATAAGCACCTGTTATTTTCTCAGCTATGGCAAAATAGTTAACCCCCAAACTGGTAAAAACACTATGAAAGCGTAAAAATGGGTTTTAATACCAGCAATACTTTTTTAAGCAATAAATATTTGAAGAAAAAAAACTATTACCAGCAATACATTTTGGAAAAAAATATTACCAGCTATAAATTTTTGAGGAAAAAAATATTACCAGCAATAATATTTTTTTTTAAATTTATCAACGATACATTTTTTGAAGGAAAAAATTATTAGCAGAAATAAATTTTTGACAAAATAAAATATTACCAGCAATAATAACTTTGTCGGCATTAAATAAACCATCGAGGTTGATATGCCGTAAAACACAGCAAACCAAACCAAACTACTATATAAAAACAACATCGATACACGCAGCCATAAATAAATCCAAAAATTCAAAAATTAATTAGTTTGTCTGACGATTGCAATTAGCATGAAACCCAGGGTCACACAATCACATCAATCCAAATAATATATATATATATGTGTATGTAAAGACACAATATGAATAAAGACTAAAGACAGATTTATCTTACCCAGCGTATTTCGTTCTCTGATCAACTGTATGAAGGCAAATGTAATGATTTTATTTTGCGACAAGTCGTTGCAATGTCGTTAGTTTTTCAGAACTCTTAAATTTAAGAAGGCTCATGAATATACATCAGGCTGACTGAAATGTCAAGTTAAATTATGGCCGACGCTTTAACTTAATACCTAATAAACAAAAGTGAGTAAATGTTGAATGTTTTGTTAAATTGATAAAAATATGGCTGGTTTTATTTGCAGTAAAAACGGTCAAAAGTAGGGATCTGTTTGACATACATTATTTACAGTTGAGGATAGTGGAATTTCTTAGCAGCAGGTTATGGAACTAGGTGACTTATGGGGCGCAGAAAGTGTTTGGTTCTGGTGTCATATAAGATAGTTGTGATTATTAATTATTCCGGGTTCTGTCCGGAATAAAGCAATCTTAACTCAACGTAGAGCACAATGATTAATCAAGGCATTTAAACAAGTGAATTTAAAATGAACAAGAAGAAAAAGATTTGTTCATCAACAAATAACATTTTATTTGCTTATTTTATACATCGTTTGGTGAATATATGGTCTGTTTTTATAGCTTACCTTAAGCAGGTGCTGGTTCATATAGAAAGTCCCTGGAAAATGCGAGGAAAACGCTGTCGATTAATAATTTATATTATATTTTGAATGTTTTCAACTTTACCGGAATTGCCACTCGGACCCTATGCGCAAATAACTGATTTTGGCCACCCGGCCACTGACACATGGAAACTTCCGGTCGACCCGACAACACTCGGACTGTTTTTGTCAACTTTGTTTCTATTATCACAGCATTTCACTTTTTTGCTTTCCTTCCTTTTGAACAAAACTTTATTTAATCTTGATTGTTCTCAGCCCGCTGTTCTCTTATTCCTATTTAGATATGAACTGACAGTAAGGCTGTAACAGCAATAATCCGCATTAGAAAGAAGAAACCTCAGTGAATGCAGTCAAGTGTGACAAGCAGTAGCAGCCGGAGTAGTTTTAATGCTCCATACAAGATTGTCACACGGGACAATAGCCTAGTGAATTTGGTGGCGTAGTATTTTCGAGTTCAAATCACTGGACCAGGTAGCCCTCACATAAAATGGGTATGAACTGTAGGAGATATACCTAGACATGGATAATAGAACGAGAACAATCTACATCTGTAGATTTGATAAAGTGTTTAGTTCAAAATTCCCTCAAGTTTAAGAGACAAACGGTCGAAACTTTGTGAAAATAACAAAAAGATGTCTCCATATCTATCTATCTATCTATCTATCTATCTATCTATCTATCTATCTATCTATCTATCATTGTTTTCGCTTTATTTCTTTCGTTTTTCTTTCTTTTTCTCTCTCACTCTATAACTATTGCTCTCAGGCTTTTCATTCTATCGCAATCTTTTTCATCACTTTTCATTCTTTATTTCTGTTTTTCTTTCTTTTTTTCTCTTTCTTTCTTTCTTTCTTTCTTTCTTTCAAATTCTTTACATTATTACTTTCTTTCTATCTTTCTATGTCTTCTTTCTTTCTTTCTTTTCTATCTATCTATCTATCTATCTATCTATCTATCTATCTATCTATCTAATTCTTCTCATTATCGCTTTCTTTATTTCTATCTCATTGTCCTCTTTCTTTCTTTCTTTCTTTCTTGCTTTCTTGCTTTCTTGCTTTCTATCTAATTCTTCTCGTTCTTTCTTTCTTACTTTCTCTCTCATTCTTATTATTTCTTTCTTTCTATCTGTCTATTATATCTGATAATTCTATTTTTATTGATGTTTCTGTTTGACCTTTATCGTTGCTAATATATAAGGTGCCATGGGGAAATTTTCGCCATTTTGTATTTTTAATTTCGCACATGCGCATCAGATTCAATAGGGAGGCCTACATCAAGTGTTTTGAGGAGGTTATTGATGATAAGTCAGAATACACCGGAAATCTGATTACGAAATAGGCTTTGCATTTTCTCACGTTGTGTTTGGTTTTTGATATTACCTTGTAACAAGAAACAAAACCTGAATAACTTGGAATCAAGAGTTTTGAAAAAAGAGAAGAAAAAAAGTTGCAACATTTTTGGTTGGTTTGGTTTAGTTTGTTTCGTTTTACGGCATATCAACACCAATGGGTCATTTAATGCCAACAACTTTTTTTTTCCTAGTAATATTTTTGTTTTCTCAAATCTATTTCTGGTAATATTTTTTCCTCAAAAATGTACAGCTGGTAATATTATTTTAAAAAATGTATTGCTGGTAATTTTTTTTTTCAAAAACGTATTGCTGGTAATACTTTTTCATTCAAAAATTTATTTCTGGTAATAATGTTTTTACAAAGTATTTCTGGTATTAAAACCTATTTTTACACTTCTATAATGCTTTTTACCTCAGTCTCGGGGTTAAGTATTTGCCCATACCTGGGATCCTAACAGGTGCTACTACCCCGGGACAGAGTGGACCTGGGAACACCAGCAATTAAGAGGTGGTTCCAAGCTTCCCAAATCCTCCTGATGAGAGGCCTTGCCGTTGGACGTAGTTTATCGTCATACCCAGGACGGACATTATTGTTACTTTAGAGGTAAGCCGCTTTCTTGAAAAGTGCGCACAGACCCCACATCACAGTGCATAGCATAACACTGACGTCATTTTGTTTTGCAAGCTTGTCTATCAATACATTAGCGTTCATTTCCCCTTTAACGGACTCTCCGTTTGAAAAGCAACCGAGGCAAACGCAGGGAAGCCGGCAAGTCTGTGTCAATACGACAACTTCGATCAACAACTTCTTTGAACTTCTTTATGCAGTAAACTCGCTTCAGCCTCATTGCTTGCCTTGTCTATATTTCTTTGACGAAATCAGTTTTATGGCACCAGCAAAGATCAGTCCACTCTTCCTCTACGCGGCACACACACACAAACACCGGTGTCAGCGCGTTGTGCAATAAAAGAGAAATAAATAAATAAATAATGGTTGGGAATCGTTGCTGCTTTTTGCAAAATGCACTTCACAGAGAATTCTACAAAAACAGAAATCAAACGTGGAAAATGGCGGGCATCTGGGAAAGAGAAAAGAAAATACACTACCAATTAATCTCTCTGTTTATAAGAAGCCAGTATTTTTCTTTCACTCTCTCCCGCTAATTTATTCATATCTATCTATCTATCTATCTATCTACCTATCTATCTATCTATCTATCTATCTATCCCAGTCTGTTCATATCTATCTATCTATCTATCTATCTATCTATCTATCTATCTATCTCAGTTTGTTCATATCTATATGTCTGTCTGTCTATCTATCTATCTATCTATGAATCTGTTCATATCTATCTATCTATCTATCTATCTATATATCTATCTATCTATCTATCTATCTATCTATCTATCTCAGTTTGTTCATATCTATATGTCTGTCTGTCTATCTATCTATCTATCTATCTATGAATCTGTTCATATCTATCTATCTATCTATCTATCTATCTATCTATCTATCTATCTATCTATCTATCTCAGTCTGTTCATATCTATATGTCTGTCTATCTATTTATTTATCTATCTATCTATGAATCTGTTCATATCTATCTATCTATCTATCTATCTATCTATCTATCTATCTATCTATCTATCTTATCCCTTTGATTATGGCTTTCTTTCTTTATTCCTACTGTCTTTCTTTTTCGCTCTCACTCTATAAGTATTATTGTTAGGCTTTTAATTCTATCGCGAACTTTTCATCACCTTTCTTTCTTTCTTTCTAATTATTCTCATTATCGCTTTCTTTCTTTTTTTCTTTCTTTCTCATTGTCCTCATTCGTTCTTTCTATCTATCTATATATCTATCTACACCATTATATTTGCGACCACATGTGCTGAAATCTGCCTTCACCACTGATATATATATATATATATATATATATATATATATATATATATATATTTGGTTATATTTACACACGCTTTATCTCTGATGTTGAGCACTTTATCCCATAAAAATATAGCACACCGTAAGACTATATATATATATATATATATATATATATATATATATATAGACTAATACACAATAAAATTCAAAATCACCTCTTATGATCAATAACCATATTTCGACCAATGAAAATATATAATTTGGCAGTCGTATTCAACCCCGGTATAGACAGTTCGTGTCGGAAATAGAAAGCTAAAAAAAAAAAAATAAAAATAAAAAACTAATGCAGAATTTGTCCATTTTAATGTTTCAATCAGAGGAAAGGCACGAAACAGGGGTAAAGGGAGGGTTGAAGGGAAGAGGTCTTATAAAATTAAACCCCGATATTAACGTTATGACATTAAATTGGTGTTATATGAAGAATGAAATATCGGACAGGTCAATAAAATTAGCACCAATTTTAGTGAAACGAAATAAAGGGGGAAAAGATTCGTAAAACAATGTATAAAGAAAGTAAAATTTAAACGAAGTAATTTACCATCGAACGGTAAATCGATATTTGACAACTGGACAATAAAATAAATATAAAAAGAAGGAATCGAATGAATTCTATTTGGTCTTGCAGCATCTAATGAATTCGCCGATTGGAAAAAAAGATTTAACATTTACAGATCGATGAGATACACAAAGTTACCTATTGTTAGAGTTATTTGCTACATAAAGCCACCGTATAAGACATTTTGCCATTACATCAATATGGTTGATACTAACTTCCGGAAGAGTAAATACACGCGCCTTACCGGGATAGCGTTTTCCGCTGTTATGAAGTGGGCAGATTATGTTTAATCAATTGCTACATCTACAATTGGTTCACCGTGTAATCTATCTTCTACTTTTATGAACTGTGTCCCTTCAGGATATAGGCGATTATGGCTTTCCACTTCTTCCTGTCCTATCTAGCTCTTAATAAGTTTTGTCTTTATGTTATTTCTCCTTAGCCCGTTCAGCAATCCACTTGCTTAAGCCCGGTAGTATGCATTGCTTTGCTTTGTCCCTCTTTCCATCTATCCGCCCTGTGAGTATCAGCATTTCCAAGCCTTCATTTCTCATTACGTGTCCCAGAAATTTCAGCTGCTTCTTCCTGGTGTTAAGTATGTTTCCTCTTTGCATCTTCTCCAAAATCTCATCGTTGCTCACATGTTCGGTTCATGGTATCCTTATCATCCTTCTGTAGAACCATACCTCTGGTGCCTTGAGTCTCTTCTTCATCTTTGAGGAGACCGTCCAACATTCACTGATGTAAAGGAGGACAGATATCACGTAGCAGTTCAGTACTCGTTTCTTTGTTACCAACAAAATCCTCCTGTCTCGTAATACTCTGCATTGTTTTTGGAATGCGTCTTTGGCCATCCCAATACGTCTTCGGATCTCAGTGTCTCACTTACCGTCCTCTGTCAGAACAGTTCCCAGATATTTCAATTTCCGCACCTGCTTGATTTTAGTGTCCCTGTAAATCGCATTTCGGGCTCATCTTTTTACTGATTACCATGCATTCTGTCTTTTTGTAGTTTATGCTTCTTCTCGCTCTCTTTCGATACCTGTAGGAGGATTTGTAGTTTACTTTCCGTGTCTGTTATCAGCACTGTGTCATCTGCGTGGCTTATGTTATTGTTATACTGGAATATACCTATTCTATTGTTAATAGACTCTCCCACCTATAATAAGTAGGATTAGTAGCAGTCGCCAGTGAGCTCAGTGAGTTGGTGAGTCAGTCGATGTCGGACATTAAAGTATCAGCCACCACAACTAGATTGCTGCGTCATTAACTATTATATCAAGTTCCTAACGTTTTGTACGTCAAACATTTTTTAGGACCGACTTAGCGAAATATAAGCCTCCGCTTTGAAACTACTCTATAACAGTTATTAAGATTGTGGCCGCCAATGATGAATGATGCTTGGATTTCCAGTTCTCTCAGAATTGCCTTGCTGTATTGGTTGAACAAGTCCGGTGAGAAGACACATCCTTGCCTTACGACCCTTTCTATTTTTATATTATATCTTAATATCTATAAGTCTCTAATTCGCCTATGCATTGAATATTACATCTGTTCTGGTGCTTTTGCCATTCTTTTAGTGATTCAAAGAAAATCCAAAGAAGAATCTGCAATGTTATTGGTTCTGACCTGGCATCTAGGTGTCAGTTTCTTTCCCATCTCCCTAACATAGCTTCCCTGTGCCTTTTCTATATATACTTTGATGGTTTACACATTTAAGTGCAGTACTAGGTTGGTGTCTAGGTTTCAACATTTTACAGTTTAAATGGCTAGATGCAACCGGAAATTATATACCAACAGTTTATTTTGTCACGCTACTTGCTTGTTGAACTCTATTCAGGCTTCCTCCTTCCTAGTCAACTTTGATCTTCAAAAATTTAAATATCAATCATTATCTTCTGTCTTCTTAATTCTCTGTCTTTTTTACAAATACTTTCATGGCAATTGCTTCGAGGAGCTGCATTCGCTGGTTCCCAGACTTCATGAGTTCAAGCGCCCTACGAGGCTGGCATCCCGCTCTCACCCTTTCACTGTCGAAACTCCTAAATCTAGCCGTCTCTTCTACTCCAATAGCTTCATATCTCGCACCTCTCGCCTGTGGAACTCCCTTCTCTATTCCAGTTTCCCTGAGAGCTATAATCTCCAACTATTCAAATGTAATGTCAATCGACATCTCCAGTTGCCTTGATCTATCCACTATCCTTCTCCTCATCCATCTCTATCACTCCTATCTGATCTTGCTCCAAATCTTCTGTAACCCCTTGCGTCCTAGTGGCTTCCCGCCTTGCTTGGGGTGAATCGCTTAAAAAAAAATTAATGTTTTCTTTTGGCTTATTATTTCAAACTTCGTGACCTCCTGCGCCTTAGTGGCTTTATTGCCTTGAAAGTGGTGAAATGATTAAAGAAAATGATTATTTGCTACACAAGGTTAGATATTCCGTTAGGATCGGGTTCATGCCTCCGATGAACTGGTCCGCAAAATGAGCTTGCGCCTAACTGGATCAAGGTAGGGATCCGATGCATATTGTAAGGTGTTAATTTGGGACGCCTTTAACGCTTATTTTAATATATTTCCAGATAACACAGGAAGAGTACTTAACTGCGATGTCATATCAACCCTCATATGATGTGCAACAGGATATGATAAAAAAAAAAAAGATGAATAAAAAACAGAAAAAATTACAATTGATGTATGGTGGAATAACAGAAAAATAAAAAACTTCAAGGACGTGAATGGATGAATAAATAAAAGAAAACTTATTTCGAACTGTCAGTGGGATGACGCATTCTTTTTAAAAAAATGTGAAACAGAACCGTCGAGACCAGGAGCGTCCAAACTAAACAAACGCCCATTTTGAAAATCGCACTGCATGAAAAGCATTTTTAATGAATAAATAATCAAAACATTTTTTTACTTTTATGTGTATTAACATAACCCCTTTAAAAGTATTTAAAATAGAACAATCTTATATGAAAAAATGAATATAAAATCATATACATATACATACATATATATATATATATATATATATATATATATATATATATATATATATATATATATATATATATATATATATATATATATATATAATAAGTTTTTTGTGGTACAGAATTTAATAATAGATAGGAAAAGACAAAATTTAGGAGGCATTTTTAAAAAAAAAGCTAAAAAATAAATAAATAAATAAACAACCAAACTTGAAACTTTTCTTTTTCTTCCATTCCATTTGTTAATGTAAACTAATTTACACGCTTCTTAAATTTTCTATTTCCAGCAAAAATAAATTTGGGACAAAACCGTTATTTATTTAATTTTTTTTTTTAGCTTTTTCTTTTAAAAATGCCTTATAAATTTTGTCTTTTCTTATCTAATATATATATTAATATATATATAAATCATATATATATATATATATATATATATATATATATATATATATATATTATGTTCATGTGTCATTTTAGAGATACAAATATTTTCAGTAAATGCACTGTTCATAATAATCAGTATTAACTACATTTACCTTGTCCGAGAAATTTCCTAGAAAGTATCTGTCCTACGACAGGAATCGAACCTGTATTCTACACGGAACCGTCATAGAGTCTGACGTGTTATACCATTTAGAAATGGACAAAGTCCGACAATTATTTTAAGACATTTTTATGTTTATACATACTTTTTACAAATACAAATATTTAAGTAAATGCTCTGTTTATAATAAACAGTATTAAACAGCATTTACCGGCCTGAATGTCCGAGAAATTTTCACAGGAAATATTCATCCTCCAAGAAGATTCGAACCTGTATACTATACGGAACCGTCATTTAGCTTGACGTGCCTTTACCGATTTCTGTGAAAATTTCTCCGGCATTTAGGCCGGTAAATGTTTATTTAATACTGTTTATTATAAACAGAGCATTTACTTAAATATTTATAGCTATAAAAGAATGTATAAACATAAAAAAATATGAAATATATATATATATATATATATATATATATATATATATATATATATATATATATAAGGTTAATGGTTAAAGAGTTGAAAGGTGAGGACACTAGTCCGAATAATGTAAATAGTGTACATAATACCTCATCTCAGAAATATAGACAGATACTGAAAGGCCGAAAAGTTGTAATAAATATGGCGACAAAGATGAGGACAATAGTCCGAATAATGTAAATTGTGTACATAATGCCTCATCTCAGAAATATAGACAGATACTGAAAGGCCGAAATTTTGTAATAAATATGGCGACAATGATGAGGACAATAGTTCGAATAATGTAAATTGTGTACATAATACCTCATCTCAGAAATATAGACTGATACTGGGAATTTAAAATTTTTAAAATATTTTTTGTTTTGTTTTTTTAATGTGTTT